ATACCGCCAAGAAAGCAAGTACTGTCTAGTAGCTACATTGGATACATAATGCTTTCAATTCTGCAAACTGGGATTACAACATAAATGCGCTCTGTGACAAGAACGTACCAATATACCCCTGCATATAGTCGCAAGCTACTTTACACGACAGAATTCTAATGTTCGATTCACGCGATAGTACAGAAGATATAATATAACAGGAGGTGTGCCGCAGGGCTCTGTTCTAGGCTCTTTGCTAAGGAGGATGTTATGTATGATGGCCTTTCGAAACTTGAGATTTCAGCATGTGTAAAACTAGTAGCATATGCAGACGATGTAGCCATAGTAGTTGTCTCTAAACAAACTGATGAGATCGTAAGTCTATTTGGCATAACTTTTAGAAAAATTAATCGCAGGTTAGGAACAATGAACCTCCAATTAGCACACAAAAAAGTGAAGCTGCTCTTATCACGAGTATAAAAACAATAAAGACCATCAAGCTGAAGATAGGAAATCTAGAGATCACGACAAAACTTCACGTCTGTTACCTTGGCTTATGCTTAATGCTCGATTGAATTTCAACCAATAGGTGGAACACGTGCTAAAGCGTCAATAGTTAGGACGAGACTTGCTCGACTGATGCCTAACGTTGGAATCAGTGGTTACTTCGGTGCTTACATATGGTATCTCCATAGGTAAATTCAAAATCTCAAAACTCAAAAATCGAGGAGAATGGCAGGACCCATATATCGTCTGAGTGCCTTAAGAATTTCTTGCGCATTTCGCACAATATCGGTGGAAGCAGTGTGCGTCATTTCAGGAACTCTGCCTTTCTTAGTCTTAGTAAAGAAAAGACGGACAATTTACCATCAAAAACATCAATAACTGAGTCCTGAGATGTTGAGAATAGAAGAACGACAAAACAGCATTGGCCGATGGCAGCAACTGTGGGATGTGGCAGTAAAGAGAGATAGACGTATTGTCTCATTCCAAACATCAAAGTCTGGCTAAATCACAAGCATGGAAAAGTGAATTATTACTAAACGCAAATGCTATCTGGGCACGGCTGTTTTCGAGCCTACCTACCCTGCTTCAGCACGATAGCTCGCCGGATTGCCCATATTGTTTGAGCGAAATCGAAGATGCTGAGCATGTGTCCTTCGTGTGCCCGCGATTTGGTGCTCTATTGAACTATGTGGAAGAGATATTGAGCCGAAAATTACTCCAGATAATGTTGTTGAAGTGAATCTGACAACTGAAGCTGCTGGAACGCCATAGACAAATTTGCGAGAGAGGTGCTATTGACCTGCGTTCTATGGAAAGAGAAAGTGTGAATGGGACTTCGTCATTTCCACATTTGTTTTAAATTAAGTAGATTAAACAAGAAATGGCCATTCGATTTACTAAACACCTGGTCTAATGTCTGCATGCGTCCTAACTTAGTACGCAGCATGCATCATCACGCCATAGTTCATTTATGTTATTATTTTGGTATAACTGTTTTTATTTTATTTTAACTTTTTTTCATTTTATATTCAATTTATTGTTTTTTTTGTATTATTTCTTTTTTTGCACCCATCGATTTTGACATTAAAGTCTTGATAAACAAAATTAAATTTTAACAAAAAAAAAATAGTTTTAAATTCATAACCGCCCAAACTTACAGACAGATAGACAGACAGACAGACAGACAGAAAGAAAAAATGATTTCAATATATTGTTTACAATTAATGTAGTATATACTGTGATTTATAATGTGAGTCTTTCTACCCGGGGGTATTTCACTCAAAATTTATAGTTTTACAATTTGTTCAGTTGTTATTGGTATATATACAATACTTTAGACATATAATAAGGACAAAAACAGAGACAAGTTTATTACTCTCAAAAAAATTCCTAATTCCAGTATTTTCTTACTTATAATGATCCCTACACTTCTGGTAAAAATTTTCAGTGAGTTTTTTTATTTGTTTAAAGTATAGTCGGTATGTCCGTCTGTTCATGTAAATATTTTGTTGGGTAATAGTGTCTCGTCAGTGGATCCCTTGATTTGTCGAGTACTTGTCGCAATGCCTTGTTTTGTACTATTCGTAGTCTCCGTCTGTTGGTCTTGGATGTCGCGTTCCATGCTAGAGCGGCGTATAATAGTAAAGGTCTTACAAGTGTTATGTAGAGTGTACGCTTGTTTTTCACGCCAACCGGTTTAAAATTACTACTGTTTTAAAAATTTTGAATAACACTTTCAATGAGTGCTTACTACCTTTCCATTATCAATCCCAATCCGATATTTGGAAAGAAAGTAGCAAGAAGGTTCAAAACGCAATATATCAGATATTACGCTATTAAAACCGATACTACCGTATTAAGTATTAATTAATTCGATCTAATTTCGGGACCAGTATCTGATCGCCCAAACTTATTTAAATTTGAAACATTTAAATATTTTGTATCTGAAATGTGATTTTTAATAATTAATGTAATTTGCTCCTTTTTGAATTCGTTGAAGATATTATTTTTTCTGAACTATCAAAAAAATGTTTATGATTAATTTTTAATAAAATATGTCGCTTTTTTATTGTAATTTTATTGTTATCTATAATGTTTTGAGCACGTTTTAATATCTGGACTAATATTAAAAGGACTTCTGATAATGCTATAAATGGATTTAAAATTGAAAAATCATTTAATAAAGTTAGTGTTTTTGAAAATAAAAATTATAGAGTTATACCTGCAGTATGTAATTCGTTTTACAAAATGCTGAATCAAAACCATAGACTCGCTATAAATAGTAAAAGTGTTTAATGTCTATAGTAACCAGCAAAATTAAAGCATTTCAATTTCTTAACAAAATACCTATTTAACTTAACTTTTAAAAGATTAACTAATATCAGAGATAAAAGTGATCAATCGGTGACTTTCTTTCAGTTTTAAATATATTTAACATTATAAAAAATGTATTTAGTGAAAAATTCTAAGTTATTTTTGTTTTTGAACTTTTATTGAAAACTTTGAATTTAATCTAATCCCACTTAGAGGCCCATATAGTAATATAATTTCATTATTTATAACTCAAAAAACATTTGTTCAAAAATATAGTTGACAAAAAATAAATTGGCATATACACAATTTGGTCTAACCTGCAATTATCGACATCCTTCGGATTTCGAATGATAAATATGGGCAAGAAAACAATACTCAGCGAGCAGAGATACCAAGTGCAGAATGCATATCGAGCAAAGAACCAAATTTTTCCCGTCCGGGGGCCAAATCTAGCTGCAAGCGCGGTGATCAATCCAAATAATAAAGATATGGCACAAAGTCGAAATGTCCATGATAGAACTGTCGACACCAAATAGACAGCGCGCCACCTGATAATAATAAGACATATTATATAAAGTATGCAATATTTTAAATAGTGAGAATTGTATCTGCTAAAGTAAATATTAATTTACAATCTTTCTTTTTTGTTAAAGGAGTTTTCTTTAATGTTGGAATATAAAAATGTTAATTGTTTCAATGAGGGCGAAACTCCTTTAACGAAAAAGAAAGATGTAGTTTAAAAAGTGAATTGTTTGGATTGTAATTGTTATTATATTAGCCAGACAAATCAGAACTTAGATGAAAGACTCAGATAGCATTAATTACAATGCGAAAAAATAGATAATAAAAAAATAAAAAGTACGTTTGTGGATCATGCTAATATCAACAACCATAAGTTTGATTTTGATAATCCCCAAATCTTATTCCATGAAAAAGACTTATTTAAACGGATGGCAGAATCAATGTTAATAGTTCGGACTAACAATAGCGTAAATCTGAGAACCGACACAAATATTTTACACGACTCTTATATACACATCATTCATAATTTATATTGTTTTTACTATTTTCATTCATTTATCTTATTCTTTTCAATAAATTAATCTGTTTACAAATTTATTGATTTTAATAGGCGACCGCGCACTCCTTTTGTTTACATTATAATTACATTAACGTTTTGTCCATTTATCTTCGATACTTAAGATTTGTTTTCAAATATTTCTGTATATATTTACATGTTTAGTACTGTGTTTATATTAAACCCTATATTAAAATTCAATTTGACAGATTATTATTTTTTAACTAAACGTTAAAGAAAAACTAGTGGGGTGTATGGCATCGTGCCTTAAGGCAAATTGCTCGAACTTCCCGTACCGTAACGAAACGATATAGGAATATTAAATGTTTTAAAATAGATTATTATAAATATTGTAACATTGTCGAATGTTTATAAGAATTACATAAACTACATTGGTAAGTTGAAATTATTTGTTTAAAGTATATTAGAACAGAATTAAAATAAAAATCTGAATTATTTTCGATATACAAAAAAAATTTTTTTTTGGAAAAAAAAATAAAAAAAAAATTTGAAGCAAATTTTTTTTTTCAAAATTAATTATTTTGTTAAAACAAGCAAAAAGTTTTTGGAATCATTTAAATTGGACGCTTAGTTCTTTCAAAAACTGTCATTTTTTGCACATTTAGCTTTGTGTCTCCAAAACCGCTAGACCTGCCTTTACCAAAAACTAATCACTCCTTCTCTCCCATCATTACAAATTGAATGTTGAATTGAATTGGGATCATTCAAATCAGATGCTCCGATCTCTCAAAAACTCGATTTCTATTTTCTGCACTCTTTGCTCCATATCTCCTAATCGGCTGGACCTGCCTTTGCCAAAAACTAATCAGCACATCTCCCTATCAATAAGAACCGAATGTTTTTTGAACCATTCAAATCGGTTGATCCGTGCGCCCGAAAACGTGGACGAAAAATTGTATCCATACATACATACATACTCACACACACACACACACATCCTTTTTTTCTGAGGTATGCCAAAATGTTCAGAAACCTTCAAAACGTCGAGAAATGTAAAAATTTTCAATTTCGATTTTCGGCTCATTACAATAACTTGCACTACGGGAAGTTAATTAAAAGCGTTGTTTGCAAATATCTTCAAAAATATACATTTTAACGAAAATAATGAAATGAACAAAATTATATAAATTAAAATCTTGATAAATCGCTGTTTTATAGTGTTGTAGGAACAATATTAGGCTAGATATGTAAATGGGGTTTTATAGTGCTCAAATTAAGCTTTGAAATGAGTACTACGTGTAAAATGAGTAAGCTATCATGCAAATAAAAGACGCATACAATGTTTTTTTTTTCATTTAAATCAAATAGTTTATAACAATAAACAATATTAAGCTAGATATGTAAATGGGGTTTTATAGTGCTCAAATTAAGCTTTGAAATGAGTACTACGTGTAAAATGAGTAAGCTATCATGAAAATTAGTATAGGATATTAACAAAATGTAGATGTGGGTACAGGACAACGTCTGGCGGGTCATCCAGTATATATATATATATATATATATATATATATATATATATATATATCGACACTGTTGTATGTCATCATTCAGCAATTTTTTTTATGTTTTACAGTATCTAAAAGAATTTTTACAAAGTTTAAAAAAGGTTAAATTTTAAAAAATATATATATTACAAAATGACAAGTAAAAAAAATTGATACATATCACACCAGGAAAAATAATAACACAAGTTTAAAAAAATATAGAAAATAAACAATATTAAAACACTAATAAAATAATTTGCTTTAAATTTAAACTATAGATTTATGTAGTGCAGTTCCAAGCAAAGAGCCGAGCGTGCCTGACGCGAAAGACTGAGGATGTTGTAAGAGAGAGTTTCAAGGATAGTTAAACAGTGTAGACATAATTAGAGAAAAAAAAAGAGTGCGCACAAGGTTCACACGCAATTGAGGTAAAACTTTTTTGCTATTGTACGAGATGGCATTTAATTCTAAGTTAAAAACAAAAACATCATATAACAATTTTGAATAATGTTCATCAGTAATGTGGTAACACTCGTGATTGAATAAGTTGATTTGTTCACATTTTTTAATGTGAACCATTATACATATTATATAATTTATATAATAATAAATTATAAATGTATAATAGCATTAAAAATATTTATAATATTTGAAAACAATAATGCAATTAAAGTCATACATCAAATACGACATGATCGGTTTGTCATTGGAATTAGCATCCAGGACTTGAAACGTTATTAGAGAAATAAAGTAATTGCTGATTAATAGATTCTATAATATTCGTTCACACAGTGGACAGCTGTAATATAACGATCTTGAATAATTTTATTAACACTAGCAATAAATGAACTGCATAAATGTCGATTATAAAGTATATCTGTATATAAATGATACACAGCTACACAAACTATTGTTGTGCTTGATCTCTTGTTTAGAGTAATAAATCTCAATATCAATTTACTATATTCATTTTTTATAAAAATATGCAACTTTGTAATACTTAATAGCCATCATAAACGAAAAACGTCTGAAAAAAGTGTCTTCGATATAATTCTGAAAAAGATATATGTTCGGCATGTTAGAGTAAAGCTGTACTGCTTTAATATTTTTTAATATCTATAAAAATGCAGAGAATTATTATGTTAAACAACACCTGAATAAATATTGTTCTCACAATTTTACTTGTCATGTAATTGTGTTTGAAGAACTTCATGTAATTAAAATTAACATACTATCATTCATTGCTTGTTAACTTCCCGTAGGGCAAGTTATAGTAATCGCAAAAAAATCGAAAATGAAAATTTTTGCATTTCTCGACGTTTCAAAGGTTTCTGAATATTTTGGCATACCTTAGAAAAAATTGATGTATGTGTGTGTGTGTGTGTATGTGTGTGTATGTATGTGCGGATACAAATTTTCGTCGACGATTTCGGGAACACCGATCAACCGATTTGAATAATTCAAAGAACATTCGATTCGTATTGATAAGGAGACGTGCTGATTAGTTTTTGGCGAAGGCAGGTCTAGCCGTTCCCAAGGTACGGGGCAAAAAGTGCCAAAAACGGTAACTCAGTTTTTAAGAGAACGGAGCGTCCGATTTTAATAATTCAAAAAACATTTTACTTGTATTGACAAGGTGAAGAACCGATCAAATTTTCATAAAGGCAGGTCTAGCGGTTTCGGAGATCTAAAGAAAAAAGTAAAAAAAAAATGCCATTTGGCGGTCAAAAATGATCATTAGACATATGCACATCAAATTATCAGATATTTTTCAGAGATTTTAACAATAAGTATAAATTTGGTTTACATTCCTATGGGTTCCGTACCAATGCTTTGATATTTTGTCTTTATGCAGTTTAAGCAGTACGATTGCTTTGAAAAAAAATTTAGATCTTCCAAAATATGTCAAAATAAAGAAAAAATTTTTTTTTCAAAAAAAAAATTTAAAATGAGAACAAAATTTTTTTTTAATTTTTTTTTTCAAAGAAAAGTAATTTTATGTCCAATTTCTCAAAAATCTTATTTTTTGGAAGTAAAATTTTTTCAAAAATGCTAATTGTTTTTAAAAAAATAATAATTTTTGGTACGGGAAGTTCCAGCAATTTGCCTTAAGGCACGATGCCTTAATTTCCTTAAGACAGAATTCCACTTACAGCTAGTTTTTTTTTTAGTTTTTCGCTGGCGATACAGTTTCATTCTTTGAACAGTTGTAGTATCTGTCTTGCATATAAAAATAATTTCCACATCAATATAAAACTTGTATGAACTTTTTATTGTTTCCATACGTTTCGACACATTGTTTTGTGTCATCTTCAGTGGACTCTAGTGTGAAAGCACAGATTAAAGCTAATAATTAAAACTAATTTATAAGAAAGTGATATGGTGTAAAAACTTACATGTAATTGTAGTATTCCTAATTAATTCATGATAATAATTGTTCACAAATGCACAAATAAAAACAATTCTTGTCACTTTAAATCGGAACAATTATATAAATTATTTATATAATTGTTCCGACTTAAAGTGACATGCATTATAAAAATATGCACATATAAAACAATAACGTACAAATAAAAACAATTCTTGAAAAATTGAAGTCTTTTAAAAAGTATAACAAATTCAGAAAAAATTAATATGTAGCATTCGCGGTAAAATTACAATATCACTTTGGATTTTTCTACCCAAAATAATTCAATAATGTTCTATCATAAATTTCAGTAACTTCTCTTATTTTGAAACGGCGAAAGGTTAAAAGGCTCGGAAGACACTCTGATTGGACAGCCGAACACACTTTAAACAATCATAACTTTATTAATATTTGTGTAACAGAAAAATAATAAAAAGCAATAATTAGTCAGAAAAAGACCTTGAATTTTATACGTATCTTTTATTCTTTCAGAGATATAATAATGACAAATTGGTTTAATTTTTAATGGATTTTTTTTTCGTGAAATCATGAGTTTTA